TGGCCAACTGCAGTCCATGAAAGACATCCCTACCCATCATGCCTGACATCATCCTTTAAAGTCATAGTACACGTGGTATAATTGTGATTGGTTTGATCTGCCCCAGGTGTGACAGGAAAACAAAGACAGAGCAGAATAAAGTCAGTGAATTAGGATTCAAAACCAGTTATCAGGGCTAAGACCATATGAGTTACACACATTTTTAAAACCACATCCTGCTAGTTCAGTAGATTGACTTCTACCCAGAAAGTGCAGGAGCATTAGGTCTGTTCATACAATAACCCTATCTGATTTACCAGGGTCAAGCTACTGTTTATCTTTGCCAGACAGAACTCATATCCTGAGCTGAGGACCTAAAACCTGTGTTTCTCACCAGTTACTTCAAGGCAATACAAGCTCTGACGTTCTTTCTACGTAATCACCTAAACAAAAAGAAAAGTATTCTTTTAAAAAAAGTATTAGGTAAAAGTAAACACACACAGTGGTCAAGAGCTTTGCTTTTATTTTTTTTCTCTTGAGTATTCAACATTTTGCAAAAGAAGGGCAGTGTTGCCCTCTACTGCTGGATGTTGAAATGTTAGCAATACACTTCTATTTTCCTGCTAGCTACGTGGAATCGATTAAATCTATTACATTGTTTTAGACTATCCCTTTAGGGGCTGTTTAAAAGAAACGTGTTCTTAGCAAATACATTGGATCTGTTTCCTCCATTGTCATCTTGTCCCAAAGTGCAGGACTTTAGGACATGACTCACTAAAAGAAGGACAACTTGGGGAAAAATGCTTAACACATTGCTCTAGAAGTACAAGGCTATATTTGTGATGCATTTAGGGAGAAACAGGGCAAGGAGAGGAAGTTTTCATTTGACTTCAATTAATGTCTGTAGCCTTACCATTCTTCTGTCATTCAAGTGCCTTCATTTGCTTTTTGTTAAGTCAATCCAGTTCCTTTGTGTTTCTTCAACTGGAGATGACAACAGTCACCTGGGGATGTTGAGACAATGGTGGAATATTGTTTCTAAAATACTTTCTATTCTTCAAAAAAGATAATATAGAAATACAAAGGGCTATTATTAATACAGCTTCATTTTAATTATTAAATATGTTGTCTTATAACTTTTAAATTGCTTTGAGAGTTTACAGATTGCTAAGAAGACTTCTTGGAGAACTCTAAATATTTTAAAAATTGTGTTCTCTGCCTTTTTTTCATTTTTAAAAATTTCAGAGTGCATGTCTACAAGAGGCCAGAGCAGAAAGAACTCAAAAAGAGTTAGCCTAACCATTACCCTACAGCTACCCGGGTAAAGTGTAATCTCTATGACAATAATAATAATTTCTACAACTATGTTAAAGGCATGTGTATATCAACATTAAGTAAAAATCTTTTTGTCCCACTTTACAATAAGAATACTAAAACTCAGACACATTAAGTAATTTACGCAGTTTCAAAACTAATAAGCAAAACTAGAATTTGATTGCAGGTACAAAGCTGATGCATTGTTCTGTTATGTAGCTCATTCAGTGAACAAAGTAAATAAATCTCAAAGGCAAGTGCTTATCAATGACATCTGTGATAATGATGACGATAATGATGATGATGATGGCAATGGTGACAGCTAACATACTGAGTACTTACCGTCAGGTGCAATTCAAAGCCTTTTACATTAAATTATTTAATTACATTAACTCGGCAAGCCCATGAGGTAAGAACTATTATTATCCTTATGTTACAGATGAGGAAACTGAGGCATACAGAGGAAATCTAGTTCCAGAGACCATGCTTTAAACCATTATGCTATTCTGCTTCTTAAGTACAAACTACATAGCACAACACTTTCTAAATGGTGCTCTGAAACTTAATTACATTCAACAAGTAAATAGAACCATCAATAGTTGTCATCCTATTGATATTTCTGTAATATAAAGTTCTCAGCAGCTTTAAAAACAGTTCTGCCTATGAGGGTGCCTGGTTCAGGAACTGATGTTAGATCCTGTCTATTCCAGGCCTCTTGCACGTGCCATTCTATGAGATAGAAAGCAGTAAGAGACCCTCACTTGGTCCAATCTATGTATGTGGGTGAGATAAGTCACACTTAAGGGAGGGAGGAAAGAAATAGGGGGAGGGGGAAGAGAAGCCAGGGGAGATGTTTCTACCAAAACACACCTAGGAAACAAGCCCATTAATTGGAGGTGCAGGGTTGATAAGCCATCTCTTTCCTTAGCAAGATTCAATTCAATATAGTGAGAGAACAGCACCACCTCTATGCTTATCTTATCGCTCACCATTTGGCCACAAGGTGATCTGGAACAGATCTCCTCTTACAGCTTTGCGTTTTAAAGAACCATGTTCAGCATACAGCTCAGCTGCTAAATAATATTCTACCCTTAGTGACAGCATATACCCAAATATAACCATTCCAAACACTTTGCACTTGAATGCAAAGTGTATAAAAAAAAACCCCTTCTCTGACTTGTTCCTGAGTTTAGACCTTCTGGGTATCGGGGTCAAGACTGAGTACGATAAGCAGGCATGGGTTTGCTTGGAGATCTATGCAGTGCCCACTGCTGCCCTGGCCTGGCTTGCCTCTTATGTTATGGGGCAGTACTGCCCAGCCCTGAAGGCTTCAGATTTCCAAGAGAGCTAATTCTAAAGGGATTCATTCTAGATGAAGCTGGTGCTGTCTGTGTTCCGAGTTCCTCCCTTCTAATTCTTTTGAAGAGAGAGAGAGAGAAAAAGAAAAGGTAAAAGGATGGTAGGGAGGACACTTGAACAGATAAATAATCATAGCAAAGTCAGAAGGCAGGCAGCCCATCTTTCTTTGGGCCCTTATGTCCTTTCTCTGGACATTCACTTTACCCAGCTGCTTACTTGTTTGGGCAATGTTTGCCTCTCAAGAGTCTTTTGCTTGTTACCATTCAGCAGGGAGGCAGTGTTGCATCAATTCTAAGTGTTAAAATTAGCAATGGCCTGGAAAGCATTTTGTTTATTTTAAGATTGGCATTTTCCTTAGAGGGGCATCCTACAGGGCTCAAGACAGAAGAGTACAGAAATTAATCTCCAAGAACCTCATATTCTAAGGTAAAAAGGTTGAGACTGGGGATCCCACTAATATGTAGTCCCCTCCAGGTCCCCCGACCTCCAAACACACTCAGTAACTGTTTGGCCCTTTCAAAATTCAGAAGATGTGAATGAAGACATAAGGGAAAAACTGCGTACATATGGCACTGTTTTTGTCCCTATCAGCATTGACTTGGTTATGGAGCTGCTTAGCTTGTCAATAAATATTTATTTGGACTTAGCTAAGTAGATAGTGTTTAGCTAAATTAGGGTTGTTTTCCCCCCCAGGGAATGACGTAAAGAGTGACCATGATATTATTGGCCAGTTCTGTGAAGATCATACTTCTAAATCAAACTCTGGGAAGGTTGGGCTATAGAACACGCCTCTCAGCAGTTGCCCTCTGACTGTGCTTTTGGAAGCACTGAAAGTTCATTGTCATTTCACCTTCAATGTTGAACTTGCAATCTTAGAGGACAGTGTTGTTAGTGAAAGACCGTGGGCAGTTACCTTTAAAGCTAGAGGTAACGTTTCTGAAAAGAAGCAGGCAATCAAAGGTTGGCAGGTATTGCACAAAGTTCTTTTGGCTTGTTTATTACTTTGAATGGAAAATTCATTTGGAACCTTGTTGTATTATCCAAAAATAAGGCTGCAGTATTCTTTTGTTCTGAAACGCCAAGAGAACTGACTCCTCCTTCCACCATTTATTGAATATTTACTAAGTTCAAGAACCTGAGGGAGACTTAGAGACAGTAAGATCTCTAGCCAAAAGGAGCTTACCATCTACAAGGGGTGTGGCAGATGTGTAACGATAACAAAAACTAACATTTGGGGAGTGCTTACTATATGTAACAAAACACTTCATATGTATTAACTCACATAATCCCCACAACAACCTCAAGGAAAATACTATTATCTCCACTTTACAGGGCAGGAACAGAGAGGTTAACTAACTTGCCTAAACCTGCCCAAGTTATTAAGCAGCAGCGCCACAATCTAAACTAGGGCATTTTCTAAAATGGTATTGCTAACAAGGTACAGAAGAAAAGGAAGGAGAGATGGATTTTGACCAGAGTGAGGGTTAAGGGAAGACTTTATGGAGAAAGTATTTGCCCTGGGTCTCAAGGTCACCAAGTGGAGTGGCGGGGCTGGGGAGGAGGGGGAAGAAACAGCCTGACTGAAAGAAAGAAGGGCAGTCTGGGTATCAGCCAGCTGCGGACAGCAAGATCTGGTTGAGTATGTGCGTGGAAGAGGGAGGCCGCGCCCAGATCCTGAAGGTCCTTGAGCACCAGATCTTCCCTGTAAGGAAAGGGGAGCAAAAATCTCAAACTGTAAGAGCAGCAGAGAAGAATTCCTGCTCTCTCCTTCACTTTTAGTAGGATGTCCCCTGTCTGAGACCAAAGCGGGCGACCCACCCGTATATCCCTCAGGGAGATACAGCCAGCCAACGTAGTCAAGGTTGCCCGTGCAGGCTGCAGAGCTGCACGTCCTGAGCCCAGACGCCGGGGACTTGGCTGCCAGCCCGGGCCAGGCCAGGTCAGAACGTGCGCACTACCCGGCTTGGCGGCGAGAACACCTGCTCCGCGGGATAGGAAGGCCCGACCTCTGGGATTCCCGCCGGCCACCTCTCCTTCGTCTCGCGCCTTTCGAAGGTCGAGGAGGTAATCTCCGGTACACACTGGCCGCTCGGCTCCTCCCTTCAGTCCCGGGACGCCCCAGGAACACTGGCCTCAACGATAGGAGCACGCGCTGCCAATCAACCCTAGCCCCCGCCCCCATCTCAGCCGGCGTATATTGCATTGGTTGTATCACTACCAGCCTCCGATAAGATTATCTTCTTGGATTGGCTAACAGCATCTCCTCCCTTGAGGCTCTTGTGCGTCAGAAGCTCGCGATTGGTTAACCGCGTTGCCAAGCTCCGGACGCGGCTCCACTATTGGAGGCCGCGGGCCCGCCTCCGCCGGCTAGGTGAAGGTGAGAGTCTCCTCCAGCAGGCTCAGCTAGACCAGACCCAGCAGGTTAAGGCCCGCGGTGGAAGTTCTCGGCTCACTCGAGCTCTCTCGATATGGCGCCTCCGTCAGTCTTTACCGAGGTTCCGCAGGCCCAGCCAGTCCTTGTCTTTAAGCTCATTGTCGACTTCCGAGAGGATCCGGATCCCCGCAAGGTCAACCTAGGAGTGGGAGGTAAAGATGCAGTAGTGCCCAGAAATGTGAGCAGCCTGGGATGCAGAGCGGACCTAACCTGGGCGGTGGGGACAAGTGGGGACAGTGGGAGAGGCTGAGGCCCAGCTTGGCGCTGGCTAGAGAGGCGGGCCGCGGGAAGAGGCAAAATCCACGAGGTTTAGTTCAATCTGCCCATTTTACAGATGGATTTATGAGTCCCTGGAAGAGAAAGGTGTGTCCGAGGTCACATAGAACAGGTAGTAGTCAGGACACAAACTCAGTTTTTCCAATTCCCTAGTCTGTGTTCTTTAATACTACATCCTTTCACTTTGTTAAAAAAAAAAAAAAAAAAAAGGATGCGGCCGGAGATTGTAAGGAGAGGGCAAAAGATAGGAAGCCTGATAGACTAGGTTTGGAGTCCTGGTTAATGGGAAACCGATAAAGGAGAACGCAGCCCTAGGGAGCTCTGCTCTGAGGTGGTAAATATTTAAGTGACTACCAGATATCAATCAGGTACTTTACCAAGCCTTGTTGGGGGAAGACAGGCTTTTTTTTTGACCTCAAGGAGTTAAGTGAGGTAAGTGCTTCTGACAGGTTAATGCTTTTCTGGGGAAGAATGTTCTGGCCCTCACAGATGTGGCAGGAATGAGTGGAGGTGGTGGAAAGGAGTGTAAGAGTGTGGTCATTAGGAGCTCATTTTCTGCACCTCCTTGTCTTCATTTCTTGCTTGTATTTCTCGGACCTTGGACAGCTCAGAGCATGGGCCTCAGTTTCCGCTTTTGCCAAGAAAAAGATTTAGACTGAAGTGCCTCTGAAATTCCTTTAATGCTTATCTTCTCTGATGAATTTGTTATTTCTACACTGTCGTTTGGACGTTTGAAACCCCACAGACCTTTCCTCAACCACATACAAAGACCAGCCAGGGAGAAGAAAATGATATTATATGGTAGGGAGCAAGCAGATTTAAAGGACTAAAAATTTTGAAAATAGAAGGTCGAACTGTTTGGTAGCAGCCGGGTGGTGAGAAGGAGGTTCAGAATCAGGCTTCCCACAGTGACTGCATCTGTACATAGGACCCATTAAAAAAAGTCTTCACCAAGGAGTATGGGAGAGGGGTGAGAAAAAAAGCCATAAAAAGTGATAGTTTTTTGAAGCTGGGAAATGAGTACCTGGGCATCCATTATATTATTCTTGCAACTTTTGTATATATTTGAAACTTTCTATAGTAAAGAATTTTTTTAAAAAAAGTCAGTACTACTTAGTTTTACCCATGGAGGGAAAGTGATGTTTTTAGCAGGCAGCAGAGTGAGAAATATTGAAAGATTTCCTTGAATTGGATTGGAGTGGGCACTATTCTAGCTCTTATTTAAATTCAATCTAAAACCACCAAGTATTTCTTTAGGGCCAGATATGTAGTGAGAAACTCATATTGATATTGATCTAAATATATCTTTTTAAAACTTCAGATTTCATTGGCTTAGTTACCTTTGAATTGTCTTACAGGGTTTTCGTGAGGATTAAATACATTTAAAGTGCTCAGAATAGTTTTTGGCACATAAGTAGGAGTTATGTAGGTAGTATCTATTACTATTATTGTTGTTTTGGTGTATCTTTGGGTTGGTCATATACAAGATGTTGAATAAAAATTTTCAACTCAAGAACTACAGAATGAAATAATTTTTGAAACTGGTTCAGAAATACCTTGCTCATGCAGAGTAAAAGTGCCCTGCTAGCCCAGACCAGAAGTAATTAGCTCAGATGCATAGTCTGCAGCTCAGATGGTCACCTCAACTGTGACAGTGCCTTTGTCATAGTTTCCAGGAACTCTAACTCCTTACTATGAGCAACTGATTTATGCATTTAATCTCATTTAATGTTTACAACAACTCTGAAGGGTCGTACATTGCTATTACTGTTTTACAGGTAAGGAAGCTAAAGCCCAGATTTATGAAGCAGTTTGCCCCAGGTCATATGGCCATCTATGGTAGAGCTGGGATTCCAGGCCAGGTCTCTCACGCTCATGGGTTTCTGCCCCCTTGTCAATTTTGGGTACCTTTAGGTGCTCCAGAGGCAGCCAGTGCACTGTAGTGGGAAGAGCCAGGAGACCTGGGTACAGGTCCAGCAATGTGACCTTAGGAAGGTTATCCAACAAGCTTAACCTGTTCAATGAGGAACCAGGACGGAATGCCCTCTCTCTAAAATTCTAAGATTCGTCTAGCACATTAGATGTCTGTAGTGTAGGATAATAATGTTACTGACCTCGTCAGTGTGACTGAGGATTAAAAGAATACTTATATATGAAATGTGATATGTAAACGAAAATGTTATATAAATGTTATTTTTGATGGTCACTGTGACCCATCTTTTTTGTGGATGGTAGGTTCTCAGATACAGGTCTAATTAGAGTAGAATAAGAGGCCTTGTCTTCTCTATTTATACATATCCCAAAGTATATTCTTTGTGAAGAAAACATAATTAATTACTGATTTGGGGGAAGATACTCTTTTTTCTCCAAATTAAGATAAAGCCCAATGGAGGTTATCCAGCTCAAGTTCCAGTGATGTTGGACATGATTAGAATACACTGCAACCATAATCTCCTTAGCTATTTGCTACTTGCAGATCATTTCCCCAGAGAGTTTCTTCTTTCTGTGACTAATTCCATAATTTCCTTATGGTTAGAGCAGAGCATCACATTTTCCACTAAGTATGATGTTCTCTAAGTTGACTGTTTTAGTGCTTCCCATGCTTCTCAGTTTCAGACAAATAGCTTTAAGTGCAGGGGAGACGTGGGTCTAGCTTGATGCAGCCTGAAGCAAGACATTTCTTCTTAGACTTCAGTTTGTTTATCATGTAAACTTAGCTTTCTTTTGTTCCAGACAAACTGCACTTACCTTAATATTTGTTATTTTTAATGTGGGTCCTGGCGCCTTCAAAGAAAATTGTAGAGAGCTGTGCTGTGTCAGGTGTTTCTGATTACCCCCTGGCCCTCTCCCCAGGCCCCTAGTTGGAGAAGAGCCTTCGAGGCATACCTGTGTGGGCTCTTGAGTAGGGATGGTTGAGGAAATAGAAATCTTATGAGGAGAGTGAGGGTTTTATCATTTAATTTTCTATGTTTTTCCTTTTCTTCTGAAAAGCAAGATTGCTGGACTCACCAGAGTAACCCATGAGAAAAGGCTGCTCATACAGTCCTCTGGGGCCTGCTTGCTTGGGCTTTCCCCAGGCACCTTTTGATCTTAAAAAAAAGCACATGGATCCATGAGCTTAATAGTATGAGAGACTAGCTCTTATAATCCTTGTGATCTTGGGCAAACTATTTAACTTGTCTGGCCTCAGTTTCCAGATCCCTAAAGAAGGGATCACGATGTCTATTTGGTGAGTTGTTATGAGAATTGAGAGTAAAAAAAAAAAAAAGTAAAGCATTTAGCACAGTGCCTTGTATGTACTAAGTATTCAGTAAACCCTTGTTGTTATGATGGCTTCAGCTACCATCAATGTCTATAATTATGAAATTTTTCTCTCTATCCTGGACTTCTTCCCTGAATGCCAGACCTATACTCGCTACAGTTTGCTGGACCCATTCTACGACCACCTCAAATTCAACATGTTTAAAACACAACTCATCATTTCTATCTTCCTCTCAATCTTTTCTTTTTTCTTCTCTTTAGGTTCTATGTCTTGGTCAATGCTACCACCATCAGTCACTAGAGAGACCTGAGAGTCATCAGTGACCCTTTCCTGGATCTCACTTGTATTTATTTGGTTATTAGCTTTTGTCTTTTCTACCTCATAAATTTGTTTTGAATATCTCTCTGTTTCTTTATCTCTGTTGCCACCGCCTTGATTCAAGACCTCATTATTTTCCTTTGGGATTATTGCAGTAACGTCTTGACTTAACTATCTGCCTCCTGCCTCTGTCCTCCTCTCCAGTTTATTTTCTATCATGTCACTCAGATGATCCTATTAAAATGTACAGCTGTTCATGTCACTCTCTTGCTTAAATACTGACAGTGATTTCCCCAGTGAACTGAAGTTCCTTCTAGAAATGACTCCAAGACACTGAGCTACTCCTTGCTATTACCCCACGGATCCTTATCTCAACCATGAAGATGCAGATCCTCAAAAACCTCATCTCTCTAAGCTCTGGGACCTTGCACAGGTCTTCCCTCTGTCTGGGATGCCTTTCTTTCCTTGTTTATCTTTTAAACCTTTCATACTTCATCCTCTGTAAAATTTCCTCTGATCTCTCACAGGAGAATGAAGGGCTCTATTCTCTCTGTTTCCTGGAGGGCAGACAGTTTCTTATTTTATCTCTTCTATCTCCGTGTAGCTACTTCTAGCTGGTGCTGGCTTCATGGTACATTCAGTAAGTTCTTGTTAAATGAGTGAGTGGATGAAAGTCTGAATGAGAAACTCATAGGTCCAGCAAACAGGAGTAAAATCCCATGAGAGAATCCCGTGATAGAAATGCCAGTTGTCAACAATGCTTGACCTCATTGCTCCAATTACCCAAGAGGAACCTGCAGTTCTGCTTCATTAGGGCAGTTAGGCAAGACATTGGGAATACATCAGAGGCATTGGGTATACATCAGGATCTGAACCTGGGAAAACCGGACACTGAAGAAGGAAGGGGAAGTATAAATTGGCCAATTCCTCTTTTGTCACGTATAAACACATTGCCTCCCCGCCACCAGTTATATTACAATATTTCTTAGAGTTGCATGGAGTATACAGACAGTACTGGAAAGTGCAGCAATACTATGGCTTTTTCTTTACCTTTCATATTTTAGTTATTTAGAACATATGATTTAAAAATGACATTATCATAAATACACACACACACACACACACACACACATATATATATATATATACAGCATAATTATATATATAAAACCCCCAAACACAGACATAAAGCATAATAGAACTGGTTTTTCTATGACTATCCAAACTCATATCTAAATAGTATCTTCTCTGTGTAGTATAGTCCATATATATTGCCATCGCTCAAAGATTTCTGGAAACCTCCCTTTGGAATGGCCTTCAAAGAAAGTTAGATTCACACATGAGGCTATCTCTTTATAATTTCTCCATTAATATTATCTATTTTATTCCTCACGAATGTGTGTGAAGATAGAAAAACATTCATCACAATGTTTGTAATAGCAAGTAATCAAAAGCAACACAAATATTTAATAAGTTATACGTAGAAAAGAATGTATTGTCTAGCCACTAAAATAGTGTTGTAAATGGCTCATATATATGAAAAATGCCCAGCTGCATTCCTCATAAGAGAAATGCAAATTAAAACTACCCTGAGATACTGCTTGCACCCTCATATTGGCAAAAAATTCACTCAGTGGGTGAGGCTGTGGGGAAGTAGACACTCTTAAACATTGATGGTAGGAATGTAAACTGATAAAATACTGATGGAGGCCAATTTGGATATCTGTCAAAAACTACAAGTATACGTACACCTCAGCTCACTCTTCCATTTTCAACCCTGCATCTTACAGACGTATTCGCACACGTGTAAAATGATGTGTGTACATGGTTGTTCACTGAAGTTTTGTATTAGCCAAAGATTGGAAACAACTCACAAGTTTATCAACAAGAGACTGGCAAAACAAATTATGATACATTCATCAGTTTTGCAGCTGTAAGAAAGAACAAAGACACTATGCACAGATATAAAAAGATCTTCAAGTGGAAAAAGCAAGGAACAAAACAGTGTATAGTATGCTACCTTATGTTATCTCTTTTGTAAAAAGAAGGACATAAGAAGCTAGATTTGCTTGTGTCTGCACATGGAAATTCTGGAAGGCTACAAAAAGAAAGCAGTTATCCATGGAGTGAGAAGATTTGAAACTAGGTGGATGGAGAATAAGGATGGGATGGGGACATGTGAATATGTCACCTATCAGAAGAATAGTTAATGGCAGTGAAAGGTACTCATTTAAAAAGTGGAAAACACCATGCTGAAAATTCTGTGTGCAACCTGATGTATATTTTATCAAAGAATATACTCGTAATAAAAATCTGAGAAAGTTTACACCAAAATTTTCATATTCCTTATCTCTAAGTGCTGGGATTACATGTTGATCATGATTCTTATTATTTATTTCTGGGCTTTTCTAAATTTTTGCAATCAACATGTATTTTTCAGTAAACAATATCAACCGCCCTGAAAAAAGTGACTTAAAAAAAAGTTAGGGATCCATGTTGGGCAGAAATCCACAAGATAAAACCTAATTGGAATTACGCTAACAATGTCAGTTTCAAAATCACTTGCTAAAGCGTAGGGTTGTTGGAGACCTACACATTCGAGCAGAGAGGCAAATGACCCCTGACAGGAATCCTGCTCAGAAAGATCATTGGCTTGGGTGCAAGCCAGAGCAGCTGCTCTCTGAAGCTATAATCCCCAAATAATCGTAGGGTAGCATAGAGGGGAAAATCAGTGATAGGCTGACTCAAAGTGGACTAAAAATACTTTTAATGTAGAACAAATGCTTGGAAATTTGCTATAAGCAAGATTAAATGTTATGAAATAGATAAATTTAGATCAATAAAAGTGTGAAGCAGATGAAGTGGAAGGAAGTGTTAAAATGGTCAACACTGAATGATGCCAGAAAACAGAGAGAGGAAGGAGTTGTGTTTCCAGTGGGTTGTTGGGTGATTGTGTAACCAGCTGTTGAACTCTTCTGTTACAGAGTGTTTGCTTGTCGTCTGTCCTATTTCTGTTCTTATAGGACGAGAGGAGGAGGTAGGCCTCGTTCCACCTCCCTCTTTCTCCATGTTTATGTTTGAAGGGACAACATTCATCTGAGGTAGCACCCAGCTCTTTTCTGGAAGTCCCTTGGGGAGATGCAAAAGATAGAGAAGATCGCCGAGCCCATGGCTACAGAGACCTCAGTGTACTAGCAATACTGACATAGCATTTGTACGATACGTCGTTTCGGTTTGCAGAGCGCTTTCGCAGGTGCTCTCTCACTCTATCAGGCTCTATGATGTCCCAATTTTTTCATGGCATTCTAATTTTTGGTGGTCATATATTTAGGAAATGTAAGTTCCATAGGGATAAAAACCATGTCTGTCCTGCTTGCCCAGTGCCTGTGCCAAAGCAGGTAGTCAGTAAATGACCGAATTTAATTTTAGTTTCCCTCACAGGTCTGTTTTGATTAGATGGTGGTAGAACTTTTCCCGCTCACGGTTCCAAACTCTTACTTGCACAAAGCCTCAGATGATTCTTATATGACTATTTCCCATGGTCCAGCTTATCGCACGGATGACTGCCAGCCCTGGGTTTTGCCTGTAGTGAGGAAGGTGGAGCAGAAGATTGCTACGGACAGCAGCCTTAACCACGAGTATCTGCCGATCCTGGGCCTACCCGAGTTCCGGTCCCATGCTTCTCGCCTTGCCCTTGGGGATGACAGCCCAGCTCTCCGGGAGAAGCGGGTGAGTTTTGGGCGAGGATGTATTTTCTCTTTAGAAACTGTGAAGGTAAAGAGAGGTTCTTTAAAAATACGAGGTGTTATGTCTATTGAACGGTCAGCGAATAAGGGTTTAAGGAGTGTGACCTCAGGAATCTGATAGTGCAAACAATGATGGGCTTTTGTATAAAGCACGGCTTCTGCGATTGTTTTCGCTCAGAAGATGATCATATTTCAGCTGCTGGGTTTGAAGCAGTCAGAGGAAATGCCAAGCCAAAGGAATTTAATGGAATGATCAAGTGACTGGGGTCTGGACCCAGCTCTGCCACTATTTTGACCATAGGCAAGTCATTTACCCCTCTGGCTCCTGTATCTCTTCTACATGTCTAAAAAACATGAGCTCGTGGTTCATAGTACCATAAGGAACACTTGCATATTTAAGGGGCCTCTGAACTCCCTGAAATTTTATGCAGAATTCTGTGTATGTATATTTATGGGGAGAAGTTTCTTAGCTTTTATCAGATTTTCTAAAAGAGACGGTGGCCCCCAAAAGTTCAAGAGCCACTAGTCTAGTTGCACTCTGAAGTTCCTGCTAGTTCTAATATCCCATCATTCTTCTAGCCTTGATATTACCTTATTAAAGTGCTTTCTGGTACGTAGTCTATGGATATAACTAGAGACACGTGGACGAGGAACACGTTTGGAAGCAGACACAGCCAGAGAGGCTCTATGGCAGGAAGTGGTATGGTGTTGATTCTCAGTGTTGGAGGGAGTCAGGGGACAGGGAGGCTGTGAGGGCTGGAGATGAGAGTGCAGCTGAACCTCGGGGAATGAGGCCAAGACACTGGCTCTCAACTCAGGTTGTGTACATTAGTATCACCTAGGGAGTTTTAAAAACATACTGATGGTGAACTCCATACCAGACCAGTTAAATCGGCATCTTGGAAGAGTACGACCCTACCCTGCCTGTCATTACCTTTCCCTCCCAATTCCCTTTCCTCCATGGGCATATTTTTAGTGTCCCGCCAGGTGATTCCAAAGTACAGCCAGGGCTGAGTACACAAAGTACAGAAGAAGGAAGAAGGAGGGGGGATTTGTCTGGAGTAGCAGGAGTCCAGGGGCAGAGGTAGGAGTTAAGCAGGTCTAGGCTGTAAAGAGACCTGAGATAAGCTGGGAGCGCATTGGATAGATCAGGCAGCCAGGGCATAGGAAGACACCTGAAGGTTTGAGCGAAGGAGTTACCCAATACAGGTGTTCGAAGGTTTGAGCAGAGGCATTACCCAATACAGGTGTTTGAAGAAGATAAACCTGGTTGAATGGGTAGAAAGAGGGAAGAGCTCAGATTTTTGCAATAGTCCGGTTAGGTATTGCGCAATTTAAACCGGTGGCCCTTATTGCTTCCCTGGGCCAGTGTCATAGTGTAGCCTTCATGTATGAAAGGGACCACATCTTGGAGACACCTGATTTTTCCTCACATGCTGTTACCCCGATACCCTGATAAAACAGAATGGCAGGGTAAAATGAAAATTGCACACAGGCACATTCTTATGTATCAGGAGGCAGGGAGGCTCCAGTAGAGATCTTAGAACTCCAGTGATTAGGCACGTAATTAACTTAATTAGGGCTGTGTCTGGATTGGCGTGAAAGACTGTGACTTACTTGCTTCAAGGAACCAAAGGAATACTGTAGAAATGGCAGAGTTTAGAGATTATGGATGGCATTGGGAGTTGCTCTGAAAATCCGGTGTTTCCACAGGAGAAGAGGAGAGTCCTGATAATGTTTCAAAGCAGGGAACTTTGGCAACTGAATGTTATCTTCATAGATGCTGTTGATAAGTTAGTTGGAATTCTGTTGCTGACAAATGAAGACAGACATTCTGTGTTGGGGAGCTTCTTCCTCTTAGATTGTACCTTCTTATATACTTATTTACTGTGTTGGGCAGATGCTTGTCCCTCTCTGCCCAAAGCTGTAAGACTTGGGGCTGTTGCTTGTGGAATGGAGCCCTCCCTCTTAGTCTTCTTCATCTCGTGTTGTGTTTTTGATCATAGAACAAATGGCAGTCTGTAAATATTTGAAGACTTTCTCTTTTTTGGAATGCTTTAGGATACTCTATTGGCATCTTGGTCACTCCAGGTACTAGTCGATACTGAGTTCTGAACTTTGCCTCTTTCCC